TTTTCTATCAGGTGCCATGAATGTTCGATTTCCAAGTGTTGGAATCGAGTTCCGCTGAGAAACGGAGCTCTGTAATTAGGGATGCACCAGTGCCAGTAACTGGGTCCCAGTCGGACTGGGTACCCAGTCGGACTGGACACCCAGTCGGGCTGGACACCCAGTCGGACCGGGTACCCAGTCGGACTGGGTATCCAGTCGGACTGGATATCCAGTCCGACTGGATACCCAGTCGAACTGGACACCCAGTCCGACTGGGTACTTAGTCATTTGATGTTTATTCCGCAAATCGAACAGTACCTTCCTCTTTTCTAATATACTGGAATGCATTGACTCTCAGGCTGATAAAATAATGATATAAGCAATAATATTGAATTGACTGACTATTCTTATATTTCTATGTGCCAATCGTTATAACGTAAAATATTATTAATATATTTCAGCAGTATTAGTAATTAAGTTTTACAGCGAGGTTTTTGCAGTGCCTTTCCCACTCCATTACAGACCATTGCGACCAGATATCCATCATTATAGACACTTTCCATTACAGACTTTCCTACTTAGACTATATGATAATTATTTACAACGACATTATTTGTGATTGTATTCAGTTCTTATAATAATGAAAGTTTTAAATTTAAAAAATTAGGACAATGAAAAGTCACGAATAAATAACAATAATAAAGGTGCAAAACAAGACGCCTGTTTCAAAGAAAAAAAATTCTTCTTAAGATCAAGAAAAAAAAGGATCTTTCCTGGCAATCGAGAATCAGGGAGAAAAAGGATCGCCCTACAGAGTTTTTACACTCTATATTTTGTATTGATGTAATGAAATCAAACAAGATATGTGAGTTCCACATTTGAGCCCCAAATGAGGCTGCCCTGACAAGCTCTTTTTGATTTGAAATGATTTACCTCCAATGTATACAAGATATTCTAAACATTCTTGTAGGAACTATTAACAAAATAAAAATATAATTTGAAATTCAAAATACGAAACCGAATCATTCATGACTAAAATTTCTGATTTAGTACTATTTTGATCGATTACAAGCTTTCACTTAATACCTGAGTCAATCGTATTGATTTTGATGCTTCTTAAAATGAATCCGACTTTTTCTATTTTTTATTTCAGTATCGATCTTACAAGAAACATTTTTCTAAAACAATCCATTATAGAAATTCATTATCTAGAAGAGTTATCTATAGCAAAGAAAATAGTTCAACAGGTGATAATAAACGAAAACTATGCTTCAATAGATAGCTCATAAAAGTTTAATGAAGACGTATGAAATTTATTTATAGTAAATCCTCCTCCCTCACAATATAAGATTCAGGGTCTTCTATTATGTTAAAGCGGAAAAATTTTATAGGGAAGTCTTGTATTATGACTCTCGGATTTTTGCGAAACTCGCGAGTATTTTCGAAGAATTTAGTAAATGCAAGTTTAAGTTCAGGATTTACGGCTTCTCAGTTCCTATCATAGTAACCAGATGCTGGGAAAAACATCACGATATCTTCCTACAGCAACAAACAATAGGGAGTAATTAATATCAGTGGCTACATTATTTTAAAATTCTGTAATTTCTAGTTTCTCTTCTAAATATTATGTTTTTAAGCTTTGTATAGCCCACATATATTTTCGAAGAAACTAATAGTGACCGTAAGTTTGAGTCAAGGTTTTTCAGCTTGTTCCCTCTTCCTCATTACATGTCGTATCAATCACTTATATTTAAAAGGTTGTGGAAATTTCTAGAATCTTTTGCTTTTCAATACTTCGAATATTTTTATGAGTATTTGCAAAAAGCTAGCCTCCTTTTTTTGCGCAGATAAAAGTTTATACGATTCATGCGAAAAGTTATCTTTTGTGATTTTTCATAATGGTAGTATAAGTTACATAAAAGCGTGATCAAACTACTTTCTAACTTTTAGAAATATTTATTTTGTGTCTTACTCAGTACAATAGTATGCATACAAGATTGTTAGGATCTGACGAAGATACAACCAATGTCTATACTAAGCGTATTTAACCATTAAATTAAACTTTGCATCGAATAGTACGAAATAATGATAATCTCGATTAACAGAAGAATAATACAGCGAATAGCAACAAGAAAAAAAGCACGCATTAAAAAAAAATGTTTGAAATGTACGAATAGAAACTGTTATAAATTAATCATTTTGATCAATGTTTCTTTAGAAACTTAACATTCTGCGTCGATTGTATTAATATTATAAATATATTCAGGAAATCTGATAAATGGAGCGAAGGAAGAGGGAGTAAATCAAAATGAAATAGTTTCGTTGGGATAAAGTTTTAGAGCGTATGCTTTAACTCAAACGATAGAAATAGTTGTAATCTATCCATTTATTTGATATCTTTTGAAAATAAACTTTTCCACCCGTTTTTGAGAATATAATATAAATCTGTAGCAGCCTGAGTCTCATGGGTACTACACTTCGGCTCCACAGCGGCTACACTGATAGTTTTTGTAACTAAAAAGGTACTCTGAGAGAACCGAAGCGATTTTGAAAATTGGAGAAAGGATTTTCACGACTTTCGAATCTTAAATGTAGATTTGAACTCATCAATTTGAAAATTTTCAACTGAGAATCCCAGGAATAGACACGTTTCGGGATAAAAAACTAATGAAAATCTTCAGTTCTCAAAAAAAAAATCTTAAATAAATAGGGAAGGGGTTTTTATTATGCGGAACACAAATTTTTTCCCAAAGGGGTCTTCTATTATGAGGAGATCTTGTAATATTGGAGGGAGGGGGGGAGGAGTTATTCTAAATTATAACGATTGATACATAGAAATATATGATTAGTCAATGAATTCAATGTTATAGCTTATATCAGTACTTCAATAGTCTAGGAATCACTATATGACAATATACTAGAAAAGAAGAAAGTACTACTCGACTAATGGACTCAAGATCAAATGACTGAGTACCCAGTCGTGACTGGGTCCCAGTCTTGACTGGGTCCCAGTCGGACTGGGTACCCAGTCTGACTGGATACCCAGCCGGACTGGACACCCAGTCGGACTGGGTATCCAGTCCGACTGGGTATCCAGTCCGGCTGGGTGTCCAGTCCGACTGGGACCCAGTTCACCAGTCAGAACTGGGACTGGTGCATCTCTATCTGTAATTGTGTTGAATGTGAAACAGGATTGTTGTACTTCATTGTATTATAATATTGTTTTGGTTGATTAACGGTAGCAGTTAATGATGGAATTGACGGGTGATTATAATTAAAATAACGTTGTTGTGAATCAAGTGATAGACTACCAAATGTATCGTATAAATCTTGTTCAGTTTTTGCATATTTTAAAAATTCATTTAATGTATTGATAGATGATTCACGTCTTGATAATTCCTTCCTAAAATCAGGATTAATTCCACTCATTAAATATTGAATAATAATTTTTTCTGACATATTTGAATCAATTTCCCGGCATAAATTAATAATGTCATCAAAATAAGACGTAATCGGTTCATCCGGTAATTGTTTACATTGTTTTAATGTATCAAATTTCTTGTGAGTTGATGTTGTAGTGAAATATCGATTTCGAAATGCAGTTTCGAAATCCGACCATTTGTTGAAATTAGGTTCATTATTATCGAACCATGTTCCAGCTGATTGAATTAGTTTACCACGAACAATTTCTGAAATTTCGTGATTATCTGATTCATCAGTTGCCTTGGTTATATTCTTGATGCTTTTTAAAAACCGTTCGACATCCTCAGAAGGATATCCAGAAAAATATGGTAGATCATCAAATGTGCTTTACGGGCTGTTGCTAATAACCCAGGTCGATCAATCCGATAGTCGGATCTTATCGGATCCGATAGGTGTCCTACAGGTATCCGATAGAATAATGTCAGATTAGACAGGAATCCGTGAAACGGAATCACGTCGGATCCCGTCAGTAGTCGGATCCGATCGGATCCTATAAGAGATCTGACAGTTGGATCCGATAGTATTCCAAGATCGTTATCTAGTGCTGATAAAACGAATGCTAATAAAATTTGCAGCAATTAAGATTCATCGGACGGGAATCCGACGTGATTCCGTTCCACGGATTCCTGTAGGATTTTGTCGGCTGGTCGGATCTTACAAGATCCTATGAGATCCGGTATCGGATTGATGGACCTGGGAACGTTTGATCGGTCATTTTACGTGTATCAATGTTTTGTGTTTCCATTTCAATTGAATCAGTATATGAAAATGTACG